ATTACAGTATTAGCAATGATAGATTAAAATAAAAGTTAACAAAAGTTAATGCAAGAACTGTTTGTAATCGTTATAATGTATTCTATATGACCACACGGGAGCATATTTGTTAAATTCACATTGTATGTTTCTCATTTTCTGTATGTCAAAAAAGTTTCTATGTCATAAAAGGTTCGCATACTGTATTTCACTCTACACTATCTTAAGGAGCTATAGTATTTCGGCTTTCATTGGTGTAATGTAATGTAACAAGCTTGATAATTTACATAGTAAATTATTTGTGGTTTAAATAAAATCAGTTGACTTTTCTGCACATTTCTGTTTTTTTTTTTTTTTTTTTTTTACATCTGTACAAACATATAACAGCAATGATTAGGGCTTCTTTCTTAATTTTGTGTTTAAAATGTGTATACGGTATTATAAAAGTCTCATATTTGGACTCTAGAGATAACTAGACCCTCACAATAACCATCACAAATCATAGTTTAAACCTATTATGTGCTCTTATTATAGATTAAATGTCATTATACGGCTTTCAAATTCAGACTCAAAATTCAGACTCACTGCTCTATATTTTGCATGCATTCATCTATAAAACTAGGTGCATGTATTCTAAATGCATCTTATAGAAATTTCTTGACCCTTAAAACACCACTAAAGCCCTCACACAGGATAGTTTTAACCTCTCTTGGTTTCTAAATACATGAACATAATTTAAATGCAATTATTCTGGCGTGTTTTCTATATTGTGCATGCATGCGCTTCTACTCACACTGATAAGGGGATCTCCGCTTGGGACCCCCGCACCCCCGGCGCCGTCCAGAACGCGCTCATCACACACAAGAGGAGGCAGTGCGCGTGCTTCCGAGGAATTCTCCGGTCCTGCTGCATCCTTCCTCCAAAATTTCTTACGCTGCAAAAGAACCGGCGGTTTGGGCAGCCTTTAGAACTCCCCCTCCCCTCGGTCTCTCTCCCCCGGATACAAAAACAGCACCGAGCGCCAATTCAGCAGCACATCTGCCCGCCTCAGCGCGCGTGCTGCCCTCCGGAGCTTCAGTCTCTCCGCCCAGCTGTCACACACCCCAAGACCTCCTGCTCGTGCTCTTTGACATCGATCCTTTGATTTTTATCCCTGAATTGATGGCATAAAGAACTAAACAGACATTTAAATGCTCATTCTTGTGCACGAGCCTTTCTCTTATAGCTGATTAAGACCAAATGAACTCGCGCGCTCTCTCACTACTGGCGCTGCTGATATATGACGAACGACACTTTCGGGTCAGTGCATGTACTAAAAAGGCAGAAGTTTAGGGAGAGGAGAAGCGAGCAGAAAGTCATCAAGACAGTAAGTGAGAGGCTCGTGTAAATCTAGGGAAGGAGATCCAGTGCGGTTTCCCCACGCGCGAGCGCGCTCACGAGAGAAGCTGATGCGAAACTTTCCCTCGGCAACGCGCATTCCTCCGTTTCGGGGATGCTTTCGCTCTGGTGTCAAGCGTTGAGAGATTACGTAAATCAGTATCATATTAGAGTTTTTTATATTCATATTTCATATTCACAAAGAAGACTAATTTACATAGCAGCACTGTGTGATTTGCATATTGCGGTTTTTAACTATTTTGTGTTTTTACCCCGGGCACGCTGTCACAAGCTGCTATATCTCTTTAACTGTGATTTGAGTCCAGGACTATAAATATAAGTAGTAGCCTAATAAAAATAATAGTTTTTGGTTTCAAACAACAAGTTCCATTAGGAGAATTAGCATGTCCTCAAAATGCATTTTCATTTACTGACAATATATAATTCTGTATTTTGCTGTTTTCATTTAGCCTATACACATTAATAAAAAAAAAACATCAATACGCCCATTGATATACAGATTCCGCTAGATGTATAATGGCTGCTCCTCATCAAAAGATGCCATAAAAGAGCAGATAGTAGTCAAAGAAAGTAAGTGAGTTAGATTTATGACCAGCCACTGCTAGCACCGACCTCTTGAGTCTGATGCTTAACAATGGCATCCAGGAGTTAATTGCTATTCTCTCATCTGTTTTTTTCTTCCTCTAATTATCGTGAGCTCATAAACGATGAGGTGCATTGGCGTGTGTGTGGTAAGGGATCTGATGGATGTCTTCACACGGCCTGCGTCACTGTGCAGTCATGATTAGCTGGTAAATGCATCATACATCACAGACTCGGCTAAACAGTGCGGCGACTGAAGCTGAACAACACAAGCCATACTGTACTACTGCAATGCTGTTACACCGCGCAAAACTCTATAAAACTTTAAAGAATTCCGGAACAAATCGCCTACCCTGCCTTCAAATGTCTCATACTTGTGTATTTTAAAAAGCACATCCAGGAATAAAAGTCTTACAGAGTCCTTCTTTAATCAGAACGACAAAAACAATAAGATTAAGAAGTTGTAGGTCTTTCAGGGACAGAAGCAATAGTTTTAACAACTCTTGAAGCAAATCCGGTTAGTCTGTGCTGGAGTTCACTCTTGTCTATTTTAATGCACGGCACCAAACACACAGTAATCTCTGTCTCGTCTTAATGGAGGTTAAAACTCTTAGCAGGTCAAACATAGTACAGGGTAAATGTGACATCTGGCACTGAAGGTGCTGGGAATCACACTTCTCAGCTTATCACAGAATACACAACACTGTATTCATGGATAGAGATGCCTAAGCAAAGCATAAAACAAAAAACTGAGAAGGATGCATTGACATATATACGGTGAATTCTTGTAAATTAGACGACTTTCGCCATTCATTTCAACACTTTACTGTTTTAATATCTAAAATTCAGTGCAAACCTTAACCTTTAGAATATTTTGAGCAGTGCACTTAAGTCCAGAAAAGTAGCCTACAAAACTCGACATACTTAAAGGGATAATTCCCCCAGAAACACAGTACGCATTGGCGTAGAATTCTGAAGCGCTGTACTACTCGAATAGGAGACCTTACACCGAAGAAAAGAAATTGTTCAATAAAGTCGTTATTTTAGGGGGGTTTTTGCACACAAAAATTCTCATCGCTTCATAACATTACATTCGAACCACTGTAGTCACATGGACTATTTTAAAGGGTTAGTTCACCCCAAAATGAAAATTCTGTCAGTAATTACTCATTAGTAATTAATTTCGTTCATCTTCGGAACACAAATTAAGATATTTTTGCTTAAATCTGAGAGCTGGATCACTCCTCCATAGGCTTCATGTTCATAATGGATCCAAACTGGATCCAAACTGAGTCTACGTTTAACTTGCAACAAAGAAGCTTTGCGCAATATCACTACGTGAAATCTCACGGCCCACAGAGAAGGAAATGAATAGTTAAATAAAGTCATTATTTTTGTTTGTTTTTTGCACACAAAAAGTATTCTCGACGTCGTTTGGTAAACTTAAGTTTAAACCACTGTAGTCACTTGGACTATTTTAACGATGTCTTTAATAACTTTTCTGGGCCGGCCAGTTTCAATCCCTTAGAAGCCTATGGAGGAGTGATCCAGCTCTCAGATTTAATCAAAAATATCTTAATTTGTATTCCGAAGGGGTTGGAACAACATGAGGGTGAGAAATTACTGACAGAATTGTCATTTTTGGCTGAACTATCCCTTTAACAATGCAAGGGCTTGGAGCCAGAGGGGCGTAAGTGGCATTTTGGGCGAATATGAGTTCTTTATATCAAAATAAAGGTCTCGATGAGCTCTATCCAATGGCCAAAAATACCTATCTGAGATCAAACTGTATTGAATAAAGCACCAAAAAGACGTATTTGACTTTTTGTTTTTTTGAAAATGTATTAGAACATGTTCATTGTGTTAATATGCCATACATTTTTTGCTTAAATTCTCATTTCATGTAAGTATGCCTGTGGTTACAATGTTTGTGGTTTAATGTTAATAATACAGGTGATTGTAGCATGGTCAAAATTTTGTTTTGTCTCCCCTGTAAAGTTTGTTAACCCTTTAACGTGACCATGTTTGCCCCTGCTGGTAAATGCTGGAACGACACCTCAAGTGTAGCTGTTCATTCTATATAAAGATATTTTGTCTAATTTAATATGCCTATATTTTAAATATCGCAAACAACCACAAAGCTGTGATTCTGAATCTTTATATTTTCGTTATTTTAAAAGGAAAAACAGAAAATGCAGTATTTTTTTGTGACACTCCTACTGTAATCAAGGGAAGAGCTGGATCAGGGATCACACACCCAGGAGGACTTATTGTGTCTTAAGTACGGATCTTTGGGATTTTTCTTCTTACAGCACCTAATCTGAATAAGAACTTTTTTGTGTGTGTGTGTCGCTGACTTGAAGATGCAGACAGAAGACGTGTGATGCAATGGTGCATGTCTGATGTGAATGAACCAGCAGAGAAGAATATAGCTGGAAAGTGACTGAAAAACTACTTCTTTTTTTTTTTAATAAGACTTGGGGAAATGGACTCTTTCCCAGAATTCCTGAATGGCTCATCTATCCATGATGGCTCTGGTGCAGAGGTGCCCCTGCCGTGGGCCGGATTCCTCACGCTGTCCCTCCTCATGGCCGTGTTCTCCATCACATCTGTCGTATTGAACACTACAGTGATAGTCGTCACCCTCCGGCACAAACAGCTGCGACAACCACTGAATTTTGCCCTGGTCAACCTCGCTGTGGCCGACCTGGGCATCACACTAACAGGAAGTGTGCCATATGTGGTGACCAACGCTGTGGGCTACTACATCACGGGACGGGTCGGTTGTGTATTGGAGGGATTTTGCGTTGCGTTATTTGGTAAGTCTGTTTAGTTCATTCAAACACTAAATAATTATTTTAGACTGTATAATGTAAACTGCACCCCTGATGGGCTTCCAGACACTGAAAAAGCAACATTAAAAGAAAATATGACTTTGTTTAAATTTTATTATATATATCCTGATTTAGCCCCGAAATCGAAATATTATTATTCTGTCAAATATTTTAGATTTAGTTTAGAGAAAGCAAGGATCTCTATTATTAGGCTTATAATTTTGCGCATTTGAATTTTGGGAATTTGTTCATATTAGTGAATTTTGGTCTCTATTTATTTGCATGAAGCTGCTCTAGTCTCTCAAAATATTGTGTAAACATTATGAGCATGATCAGTGTTGGGTAAGTTATTGTAAAAAAGTATACTTATCATCAACAGTGCAATTAGAATAATGAACTAATTACTCAAAGAGTATTGGATTACTTATTACTAATCACTTTCTAAATCCCATGTCAACCTCAAGTTGCACACAAGGACAGACACAGCACTGCACTTTTGATTCTTTCTAATAAACAATGCAATTGCATAAATAATCCTTAAACTGACTAAATGGAGTTTACAAAGTGTTTACATGCAAGAAAAAAACCTTTTATCATAACATTTTAATGTTAAATTAACTATTGTTTTATATAGAATTGTTAGTCTAAAGTATTGAATACAATTACATCAGAATTAACTGTAATTCAATTACAGAAAAATGAAGAGTAATCCCTTACTTTACAAGGGAAAAGTAATTAAATCACAGTAATTAGATTACTAAGTCATTAAAGGGATAGTTCACTTTGAAATCAATTTTTGGTGTGTTTTAGCTTACCTCAAGGGCATCCAAGATGTAGTTTCAATTTGGTTATTTTTAGGTCAAACCGTTCTTGTCTGTCAGCCATATAATGGAGGTCTATGGTCACCACCTTAAAGAGCATGCACAGAGAAGTCTAAATTAAACATGATTCAATGACTCATAAATGTAAGTACACATTGATGGCCTAAGACACGAAATGAGCAGTTTGTGTGAGAAAACAAACAGTTTTTCTGTAATTTTTACCAAAAATTAATTTCAAACTGAACTATCTCTTTAATTACACCCAACACTGAGCATGACCAGCTGACAGCCACAGATGTTAACCTTTAAAATGTGAACTTTATCTCAACTCTAATGTCCTCTTCTTCCTCTGTTGACTGCACAGGTATAACAGCGCTGTGCACCGTGGCCCTGATAGCTGTGGAACGGCTGTTCGTAGTGTGCAAGCCTCTGGGTACCATCACATTCCAGGGCAAGCATGCTGCCGGGGGGCTGGCGTTATCCTGGCTCTGGTCTCTCATCTGGAATACTCCTCCTCTCTTTGGCTGGGGAAGCTACCAGCTGGAGGGGGTCGGCACGTCATGTGGACCCGACTGGCAGAGTCGAGATTTCAAAAACATGTCTTACATCATCTGTTACTTCTCACTCTGCTTCGCTGTGCCATTTATCATCATTGTGGTGTCATATTCATGGCTGCTCTACACGCTAAGACAAGTATAACGTTGTCTTTTTGACATTTTGACTTTTTTATGTTCTCTTCAGATGAGCTGGTGATGTTTAGTTTGTTGTTTGTAGTGGTGGACAAAAGTATTCACTAAGTTAATTTTTCAAATAGGCCTGTACTTCATCAGAATGGCCTCTTTTACTTTGGGATGTTTACTTTGGGATGTTTACTGCAATGTTTACTGCTTCTTCACTACATTCTTAATGTTATATTTTTCCAAATAAAATTTGTTTATGGAAGTCAAGCCGTCACATAAGAAAAATGTATGTTTTATAAATTATAATTGAGACATTCAAAATTATGAGAATACTTAAATTATGACATAATTTATGACATTTTGCCCCATGAGACGTCTGTCCATTCGCCAATCGCCACATATTCTATTTTTCATTATGGTAACTTGTATATCTTTCACTTGTTTGCATACTTGAATTATCCGTAACTTGAGGTTTAATGTTTTGATATTGTAGGCTAGGCAATAATAAGTTTTGGCTAACATGTTTTAATGTTTCCTAGATCAATAATTAAATGTATACACTAATCTTTAAAGGATTAGTTCACTTTAAAAAAAAAACACTTTTGCTGATAGCTAATTTACTCACCCACATGTCATCCAAGATGTCCACGTCTTTCTTTCTTCAGTCGAAATGAAAACATTCCAGGATTCGAAGGGCTTTAAACGACACCAGACGATGAATAAGGGTCTTATCAAGCGAAACGATCGGCCATTTCAAATATAAATAAAAATGTTACATTTTTATAAGCACAAATGCTCGCCTTGCTCGGTTCTGTGATGCGCGTTCGTGACTCTCCTGTTCGAACTCGTTCATCAAAATGAACAAATCTTTTTTCGAGTCATTTCGTTCGAGTCATTTTGTTCATGTCGTTCGTTGAAACGATGTGAACTAATCCTTTAATAGCACTAATGACTAATGGCGGCTAGAATAAATAACAAACGGTTCTTCAATCAGTCATCTTTATTTACCCCTCTTGCAGTGACATATTTTCTCTTCTCTGATGCTGTTTACCGGCACAAGGGCAACCTGTCACTCACAGCACTAGCAAACGACAACCATCCAATCAATTCCTCATGGACCAAATCAAGCCCCGCCTTATATTCTTTTTTTTTTGTTCAAGAACCCTTTTTACTCAGACTTACTTTGTTTTCATGCTGACTTTGTACATTAAAAAAAACAAGTGTTTTTGTACTTCAACTAAAGTAAAGAGTAATATTTTATTAGGGTATCTGTACTTTTATTCAAGTGTTTGGTCCTCTACTGTTTGCTTGACATGACAGGTTGCTAAGGTAGGAGGAGGTGCGGCCGCGAGGGCGGAGGCTAAGGTGGCGCGGATGGTGGTGATGATGGTGTTGGCGTTCCTTGTGAGCTGGCTACCATATGCTACTCTGGCTCTAATGGTTATCTTCAACCCCGATGTCCAGTTGCCTGTGTTGGTGAAGGTGGTACCCATATACATGGCCAAGAGCAGCACTGTATACAACCCTATGATCTACATATACATGAACAAACAGGTGAGTGAATCAAATGCAGATCGATCATGTTCATCAGTCTGATTTGCCTAGTTTAACACAAAAGACATTCATGGAGTAAATCCTTATTAAACCGTTTCAGACACTGTGAGAGAAGAGGTGATGCTGTTGGATTAATTTTTTAATTGGACTTCAAAAAAGGCTTCAAGTTTGGATTTTTTTTTTTTTGTAATAGGGTTCTACAGTGACACAGCTAGTGTTGTTTATCAGTTTTAAGGTCTGTTTAAAAATTATAACGTTCTTTCTTTTCTAGTTCCAGAGGTATGCAATACCACTTCTGATGTGTGGAAAGGATCCCTGGCCTTCAGAGGATGAAGCATCCGATGTTCAGACCATCGTGTTGAACAACAAAATCAGCCCAGAGTGACTTACCATCAGGGCCGTGCAGAGACCTCTGTAGGGGCAGGTGCTCAAAGTATAAAATGGGGCACGGAAACAAGGCTTTACAGGGCTGTGCTCAAAATATCAATACAGTAATATATCAATACAGATGATTCTGCATCGATACAGCAGCAAATGCATTGATGCAGTTTTGAAAAAGAACCAGAACAGAAAAGACAAATTTAAAGTTTAAAATTAAAAAAAATAATTGATGTGCTCTATATATAACTCTGGGATTAGAAACTGAAGCATATTAAGTTGTTCCAACCTGATGGCTTTTTCTTCTCTGTTATACAGAATAATAAAGAACAGCTGTTATAGTGAACTGTATAGGACAAAATCAACGTGGCCCATGTTTCGTGCAGTACAGTATAGTTTTATTTAATGGAATATCAGCATCTGTGGCTATTTTCATGGCAAAAACTGATTTACAAAAATACAAGAGTTACATTTTATACAATGAAAATAAAAACAAAGCAAACAGAAACAGCAATTAATACTTTACAAGATTTTTAACATTAATGTGATGCCTGTTCTGGTAAATTCTTACTTAAGTCCTTAAGTGAGTTTGCTGCCTTTGCTGTTGATGTTGTTACTGCTGCTGCTGATACTGCTGGAGTTGATCTGAGACTGTATACATTAAAATAAACAGAAATATAGGGTATTAGCTGAATAAACCATTTTTATGTGACCATGTCAAGATGTAAAGATTGCTGACAGTGTTTGGAACTGGCTCACTAGTTCACTGACCTGCTAAAGCTACAGATTCTACCCAGGCCGCTATAGTATAATAATACAATAATAGTATATAATAGTAACGTTACTAGGGCAGATGTTCACAGAGGCTTCTGCACACAAAACATAAGATACTAACTGGTATGCCTATGTGATAACTTACCAGAGTTGTGATAATCATTTTTATGTGAAAATATTTTTTTTAATAAATACTGTAATAATAATAATAGTTTAAAGTAAAAATAATAGTTTTTAGTCAAATAACACCCCTCCACGCCCGTGAAACTTTTCTCCCTCAAACAGCAAGCTACTTCTACAGCCTACACACAGCAATACAAACAACATCTCTCTGCATGCTCTCTTCACGTCGTTCTAGTAAAATAATAATAATAAGTAAACAAACATCAAAATCACTTCGCTGAGAATAGAACACCACTTACGTCATCATGTGGGTCATTTTATTTACGGCTAAATTATTATTCATTCATTTTACTACTAGTTAGATGGGGCAGGCATCCACAAAAGTGCCTTTAAATACAAAAAAGGAGAGGAAATTTTGTCTTGACAAAAGGGCACTTTGGGCACCAAGGGGCAAAAGGGCAGGTGCTCGAGCACCCAACGCCCCCCCCTCTGCACGTGCCTGCTTACCATTCACTACAGTCTGTTAGTGCAAATGTGCTCCTCTGCTTAAAGAGAGATGATTTAATGAACACTGAAGGGTGGGTATTTAAGGCCAATAGTTTTTCATTCACATCTCATCTGTGATTCATTACTTGCAAAATGCTATTCTGAACTAGCTAGGAACATTTTCATTCTCTAGACAGTATTTGATTGGACAGAAATGTGTATCTCCTGAGTGCAAGATAAGCCAACAGTTATTTTTTTTTACCAGAAGACATATTATTCTCTAAAAGTCAACATTTTGGTTGTATACTAGCTTATAGATGACTTATTCATCAAAGAACCCTAAAAAAAAATGAAGCAACTTTTTTCAACATTGGTAAGAAATGTTTCTTGAGCAGCAAATCAGCATATCGAATGATTTCTGAAGGATCATGTGACACTGACGACTGAAGTAATGATGCTGAAAATTTAGCTTTGATCACAGGAATAAATTACACTTTAAAATGTATTACAATAGAAAATATCTATTTTAAATTGTAATAATATTTCACAACATTGCGGTTTTTACTGTATTTTTGATCAAATAAACACAGCCTTGGTGAGCAGAAGAAACTTCTTTCAAAAACATTTACAAATGTCACTGACCTAAAACATTTGAACGCAAGTGTAACTACAAATATTGAAGTTCACTATTACTGAGTTAAGTTCACCCAAAAATGAAAATTCGGGAAAAAGTTTTCTGTGCCTCCATTGACAGCTATGCAACTACCACTTTCATGCTTCAAAATGTTCATAAAGAGATCATAAAACTATTCCATATAAATTGAACAATTTAGTCAAAATTTTTTGAAGAGACTTGATCGCTTTATATGACGAACAGATTTAATCTAGGCTTTTATTCACGTTTATCAAGTAGCTGTCTATGGAGGGACAGAAATCTCTCAGATTTCATCAAAAAGATATTCATTTGTGTTCTGAAGATGAACGAAAGTCTTACAGGATTGGAAGGACATGAGGGTGAAGAATTAATGACAGAATTTTCATTTTTGGGCCAAGAACACTACAATCTAGATCCCAAAGCCCCAGATGAATTTTGCAAAATAATCTGATTAAATCTTTCTTAATACTTTCCAATTAAAGTAGCCTTGACCCATAGATCTACTGAGGGACACGTCTATAAGTCTTTCCGTAGCTGTGCAGAAGTCTTATATATTATACAATGTTCTTTTACAAATAAGTGAGACAGGTGTTTGTTTATTCATTAAGTTTATTCCGTATTAATCATTAGAAAATAAAATTTCAATATTGATTCAAATCAAGTCCAGGCCAAAATAAATAGGAAAATTACAAAAAATGCATCAATACAAAACCTAGAGGGATATTATAAGTCATCTGCTACGAAGAGAAAACCCTTTTTTTCCTTTTTCTTCATGGAATAAAAACCATAACAGAGCAAAGATAAAGACTTTCAAATGGAGAACATCACCACGCATCTTTCCGTTACATATGTACATATGTTACACTATAATCTTAAGTTTCCTTACAGCATTAATAAGAAAAAGTATGTAATAGTATAGCAACAACTCTAGATGAAAATGTGATAATCAACAGAAGTGGCTCTGAAAACTTGTACTGTATAATACTTTTTTCCATTTTTTTTTTCCGTTAACATATCAGAGGAGTGCGCCCCCCCCCCCTCCCTTTCTTCTGTTTGTCCCAGCATTGAAAGGTGAAATGTAAATGACATATAGATTTCACTAAACCGTACACACAGTCACAGAAAAAGAGTACAAAATTCGCCCACCTTGATACACAAAATATGAATAGAAAACAGGGAAAACAAATTGCACGTTACAGTAATTTGTGCAAAGACGAACAGCAATGTGCTAATAGTAAAATCCCATTGGTATATTAAGAAACCAAATTTTTTCTTTCTATTCAGGAGTCCCTGACACGAGGTAAAAGTTAAATCTTTAGTTTAATACGTTTTTTTTTTCTTTGTTTATTAAAAATAATGCATATTTTATTGTCCTTACCAGTAATTGCTACGAATAGTACAATGTGCCAAGAATGTGCATTGGTCTGTTTACAAGATACAGTATAATCGACATGAAGACCAGAACACAATGTTATATATTTTTTTTCTCCCCGCACGGATCATTTCAGCCCTTTCAGATGTGCACACGCAGTGTTTCATGACAGTATTCGGTTGACTGAAAAACACAAGAGATCAATAACACCCGAGAACAACAATTTCCAACAAACCCCACATTTCCCTTTATTTAAGCTGTGGTGAAGCTCAACACTTCAAGGCAGTGGCCTTTGCAGTCAAACGTTTATCTTTTTGCCCATAGTGCTCAGCAGTAATTTGCCTGTTGGAAGTGACAAAAGGTCAACTGAATTTGATGTGATCCCGTGTTGAGGCCTAAGGACAGAGATTTACAACACCTTAAAGGCAAAGACACTCACAAAAAGGACGCTTCAAATGCTGATATGTTTCCCCTGCTCTAAAAGAGGTATTTCCAGAAGCCAGAGCTGAAGTGAAAGGTGAACAGAAAGCAAAGCAAAAGTGGGGGAGAGGGGGTCAAGTATTGCTTAACCAGATTCTTGCCTTGCTTAAAGGGACAGTGCACCCAAAAATGAAAATTCTGTCATTAGATACTCACTCTTATGTCATGCTTTTTTTCTATGCAAATATTTTTTTTCAAGCATAGTAGTGTCGTGTGATGCTTTTTGAGCTTGGTAGACATGGTCACTATGATTACATTTACATTGCATTAACCCTTAAAGGCCGAGACAGTCAAAAATAACTATTGTTCTTAAATGTTTAATAACTTTTGAAACGCTAATTCAATCTGTATGCTTTTCAGTGGCATCACGTTTCGTCTCAGTCGGACATTCAGAGGCTACGCAGTGAACGTGATTACATCATCAAGTTTTAATTAGCCTTGATTCGTCAATGCAGTTTGTTCCTCTGAGCCAATCAGGAATGACTGTTGATGCTTAGTCCGACCCCCCAGCCCAGATTGGTTGAAACTGTCATCTACTCAACCAATAAACATAGTTTTGGTCTTTTGAACCACCAGTCAGCATGTTAAATAATTTGGATTGTTAGACAAAAATAAAAAAAATGTTAACCTCAAAAAACTTGAATGGGTTAGAAAAAGGGTTAGAGTCAAGTGCCTAAAAAATGTTCTAGGTCTTAAAGGGTTAATGATTTGGCTAACACTTGTTTGCTTTTAGACCTGTAGAGATTGTTTGCTTTGTTCTGAAACAGGATTTCAAATTGTTACTATTGTTATTCTTCTTGGTTTGATTCGCTTTCACAAGGCAACATTTCTAAACAGACCAAAATTTCTTAATAAAAGCGAGTAAGCTGTCCTCTCATTGGTCAGATTGCCCCCGGCTTTACTAATTTGCCATTGGCTCTTTAATTTAGAAGGCTTTTTTTTAATTTCTCATGAGTGGACTGTCTCCTAACCCTAACCCTAACTCTGAGCTTGAATCAAGGCTTCATCTGTATTTGGACATTTCTGAAATATGATCATCTGACTAAATTTCAATTAGGCATTTCATTTAGTCTTTTCCCCCACAGAGAAATGCTATATATAACTTATGCTTGAAAATGATCCAATGGGGGAAAAACAAGATCACAGATACAGTCCTCACTGTAGAACACGAAATCCAGGGGAAATCCGCCCCTTGATCCCTAACCCCACCCTTAATCCAACCCATCTCCACCCCTGATCCATAACCCCACCCCTGATCCTTAACCCCACCCCTAATCCTACCCATCTCCACCCCCTGATCCCTAATCCTACCCATCTCCACCCGATACCTAACCCCACCCCTAATCCTACCCATCTCCACCCCTGATCCTTAACCCCACCCCTAATCCTACCCATCTCCACCCCTGATCCTTAACCCCACCCCTAATCCTACCCATCTCCACCCCCTGATCCCTAATCCTACCCATCTCCACCCGATACCTAACCCCACCCCTAATCCTACCCATCTCCACACGATACCTAATCCCACCCTAATCCTACCCATCTCCACCTCCTGATCCCTAACCCCACCCCTAATCCTACCCATCTCCACCCCTGATCCTTAACCCCACCCCTAATCCTACCCATCTCCACCCCTGATCGTTAACCCCACCCCTAATCCTACCCATCTCCACCCCTGATCGTTAACCCCACCCCTAATCCTACCCATCTCCACCCCTGATCCTTAACCCCACCCCTAATCCTACCCATCTCCACCCCTGATCGTTAACCCCACCCCTAATCCTACCCATCACCACCCCCTGATCCCTAACCCCACCCCTAATCCTACCCATCTCCACCCCTGATCGTTAACCCCACCCCTAATCCTACCCATCACCACCCCCTGATCCCTAACCCCACCCCTAATCCTACCCATCTCCATCCTCTGATCCCTAACCCCACCCCTAATCCTACCCATCTCCACCCCCTGATCCCTAACCCCACCATAATCCTACCCATCTCCACCCCTTAGATCTGGATCCAACTCCGCCCCCTGGATCTTGTGTACTGCATTGAGGTGCTACTGGAAAAAAACAGCAGTTTTGATGACATGACGGTGACTGTGAGTGAATACAGGATTTTCATTTTAGCCTGAACTATTCCTTTAAGGATGCATGATGCGAACATGCACTCCAAACAACCCAAAACTCCCCCATAATCATATATTTCGCCATCATAATCATCTTCATTATCATTATTATAAAACTAAAGGAAGATTTCAGTATTCAAAACACCTAAATACATTAGTGGAAACGAGTCGCTGATCTGAAACCGCTGATCTCGCGCGATTTCGAGATCCGCTATATAGATCAGCCAGTGGCAGCAGGCTTTTCCAAGTGGCAGCATGTTCCTGGTGAGGGTCGTACAGTTTAATTGCCGACTAATTAAGCAGCATCGTTAATGCACAAAGCATTTACCATTGCACCTTCCTGTCCACCTCCCCTGCACAAAATATGCAACGAAAAAACACGAACCCCTAAAATGAGACGGACTCCTTCAATACACACAAACGAGAGCACGATTAAGACACGATTCTGTAAGCCCTACTGAATTCCCCATAAAGAAGGTCAACGTTCATGACCCATACTGCATACCGTAGATTTTAAGGGAACACGCTATGAAATGGACACTGAGAAAAACGACTTGCATATCTTGTGCGGGTGTGTGTCACAGACATAATAACCTCATATAAAATTGGCTTTTTTGTTCTATACTTCTCACAAACAAGTATGAATGCATATGAGCAAAGGATAAAGGCAAAGAATTTAATAAAGTACAGTACCTATTATTAAAATAACACCAAATTTAGTCTTTTTCGTAATGCAATAACATCAATTAGGATTAA